TTGTACTCTCATTGGCTCTCTCTTCCGTATAACTTGTGCAGTGTCTATCTCAGAATTTAAGAATGCGCTGCGTTATGTGAAATAGTCAACTTATATCTCATTTTTTTAATTTTTCTTGTAAAGAAAATAGGACCTAGACGTTACTGGTTATGGCTAAGGTAGCGATATTATACAGCCAGATAGTACAACAACAAGGCACACAACTGACAAATTTATTGAGTCATTCGACGACCTGACACCTAGTTCAAACATATCTACGAAGGGCAAACCAACAACCTTCCAACTTGGAAGGCTCAGATGCGGGAAAGTTCCAATGAGGGGAGGGGATGTGCCACGAATTCTAGAGGCCCTGCTCGACGATGAGGAGGAGAGGTGCGAGGGCATCATTCCAGTTCTTGTCCTGGACGAACGCTTTCTCAGGCAACGAAGGGTCCAAATGCCACGAACAAGTAACAATTCCGAGGTCACAGTACCAGCCTACACCCTGGACGATTCTCGGCAACATTCCGTACGTCGACAATCGCGTTTGAGGTTGGTTTTGTTGGCGGAGGAATACAGCAGTGACACCCCTCACCCCTACAATGCTACATGGCTTCAACTTGAGGCAGTCCATGTCCACACATCCGTTTTTACAACAGGAAGATGGCAGAGACATTTAGCCGAACAATGAGGCTGGGAAGTATGGTACCAGGGCCAATGACATAAATTATGGCGCGGAGCTGGACAGCATCCAGTATGGCCAGGTGTGAGGGAGCTGATCCCATCCACGCAAGGGGGGCATATTCCAGCACTGGCAGAACGAATCCTTTGTAATTGTAGACAGTCACCCTGCCCGCGTGGCTGAGGAGGGGTACTGCCTTCCGCAGGAGGCTCAGCTGCTGCTTGGCACGTGATGCAACTTGCTGAAGGTGGAGTTGATAGCTAGGTTTGCAATCAAACGTCACTCCGAGCACCTTGACAGATTCATCTGGCGGAAGAGGACGTCCACCATGGACATAGTAATCAAGTAGCGTGCTCCACTGTCGGAAGAGTGCTCAATGCCCAAAAATATGGCAGAGCCTTGTACACAAGAGATACTCTAAAACTAGAAAGTCTAACGAGTCACAAAATTTCTAACGACCACTTTTTTCGTTTTTTGAAGAAACGTTATCGCGAACGCGGTTTGAGATGTCTTTGTAAAGATGCACATGCAGATTGGTGGCCAGGTAGCCATCGTTAAACTTTCTGCACGTTATCATGCCAAAATTACCAAAACGCTAAACTTTTTGGTCGTTAAACTTTCCGGTTTTACAGTAGATAGGAAGCTGTTTCGGAACTCCGAGTTTCAAATTCTACTACGGTCATCAGGCTACTGATGGCTCCAAAACGGGCAGCCTGAACATAAGGGGGAGTAAGGTGATAAGTACTGACTCTGAGGAGAATCGTAGCGAGTCAAGTGCAGGCGAGAAGTTGCCAAGTCTTCAGACTTGGGTCTATGCAGCAAAGGCAGTTCCAGTATGAATAAAATCGAATCGAATAGAGCTGGGGACCTAAAATTAAGTGCCTAATCCACTCATGCTCACACCATTATACACACATTCTCTCACCCTCACTCACAAGTAGTGTTTTGAACACATGCAGTAGACACACTAGAACATACACACGCTTTTGTAACGCCCCCACTATGGCCCACTTAAATTCAATATGCCACCGGCCCACCGCCCGCGCTGCGCAGCATCTCATGGTTCAGTAAAAACACACAAACACGCACACACACACACACACACACACACTTCATATTTCCTAAGTCATCAGTTAGTTAGCTAGTTGATCGGAGTCTGAGTGGACCATTAGCGCTTCAGTTGTAATCAGTAAGCAAAGAGCGTCATTTTGACATACACATGTACATGATACAATGTCATGTTGCATGTTGCATGTTGGTGTGCCTAACTCACTATACATGTATATGTAACATCAACCTCGCTATAACATGAAATGATTTCCTATACACCAGAGATAACGGTATAATGAGATCTGACCTGTACTACTGTAAATGAACACGTACAATGTACATGTACTGTATGATACCAGATCAGGCAGATTGTATTTGTAGTGCTGAGCAGCCCACAGCCTGCAATCAACTGCGAAGGGCATTTGCCTGCGGGGTAAGCTCGAATGCCCCTGATTCTCTGAATCGAAGCAAGTGACAGTCCATGGCATCTAAGTAAGTAAAGTTTGCACGTCCCACCGGCTATACAATAGGGCTTGAAAGTGATGACGTCAAAACGGCCAGGGAGTAGTAAGTTGACATCAGATTTCTATTTTTGGATCCACTAAGGCGTGACTTTGCTATTGCCTAAGTATGTGGGTGCATAGCAACCCACTCATGTCGCATGCAGGTGTGACTTTTATTTCGCCACCAGTTGTAACCCCGCCCCCAGTAGCCAAATCAGTCAGTTTCACTGGTTACATCACCTTGCTGAGAGTAAGACGGCTTGAAATGTGCTTGGATCCATACAAAAACTGGATCCAAGTGGATCCAATTTTTGAATTTTTAAAATTGTTGCTATGCTGTGACGTAGCACTTTCAAGCCCTATTGCGTTGAGAAACACAACCAGAAGTTTCGCATGTGCCAGGCCACCACCATGCCTGTGCTACCAGGGTGGCAGATGCAGCGCCTAACGGCGAGGGTGAGGTGGTAAGTCTCACAACCAATGCCCGACAAGGGGGGCTAACCTCTTTAGCTGCATCCATGTTACCCTCACTCCGAGTAGTGAGTACCCAGTTGACCGTGGGTGTCGGCGCAGTTCACTGCATGTAAAGTGGTTCACGCATGCATCACCGCATTTGCTAGCACAGTACACCTGGTACACGCTCCCTGCTCCCAGGGCGGGTCTCGAACTCGGGACCTTGTGATTCGCTGGCAAGCCCACAACCACTCGGCCAAAGTGCTGGTACCAAGCAAAACGAAATCTCGCCGTGCAGGTGATTCAACACCACAGAAAAATAATTGAATGCAAACAAGACTTGCCAGGGTCTTCAGGTCAGGAACACTGAAGTCTGAACATTCCCTGCCAACCATACTGGAGGTGGAGACAATCAGGAAGCCTTTGGCGGATTATGCCGGCATAATATCAATTTTGGCATAATCTTGAGATTTCGCCAAAAAATTATGCTCCGGCATATAATATACGGATTCCAACGTGTAAGGTCGGCATAATCTTTCGGTTTAGACAAAAATTATGCTTAGGGGCATAATACAGCTTTGTCAGAAAGCCTGCAGATTTTTTGTTTGTTTTGTTTTTAACCCTTGTTACGACTCCTTGTCATAGCCCTTGGCGGATTATGCCGGCATAATATTTGGCATAATCTTGGGATTTCATCAAAAAATTATGCTCCGGCATAATAATACGGATTCCAACTTGTAAGGTCGGCATAATCTTTCGGTTTAGACAAAAATTATGCTTAGGGCATGGCCCTGTGTGTATGCGTGGTTTCTCAATCCTCTATGTACAGCGTGAATACATAGTGTGGAACCGAGCATAATTCAGCATAATTCAGCATATTTGTTGGCATAATTGTGGCATAATCAAAAGCATAATTTTGACGATTGGCCGAGCATAGTCCGCCAATCGGGGCGCAAATGAACCATGAATATTTTGCTACCCGCTACTAATATGGCTAGTATGGGTCCGTACTAATAGCCCTTTCACACGACGGGAGAAGAATGTCACGGATTCTCGGCTGTGCGACAGGATCACCAGGGTGATCACTGATCATCAATCTATTATTTTGAAATCTGAGCCGTAGGCCCTTAGCCCGCGAGATCGTAGCCCGCAACACCCTGACACCCTGGCGTTTTCGATTTCGGTTTCGCGTTTCATGAATCGGCTTGTATGAACTGGCTTGTCACAATCGTGTCTTTGTTGTATGCGCTGTGTCTGCAAAGCTAGTCGTCGTGTGAAGTGTCTTGCCATGCATCGATGCATCGTAGAACCATAGTATCATGCAATCGTGAGCACGAACCGTCGTGTGATCATGGTGATAAAGCTAGGCTATTACTACATGTACTGTCTACTAGGTACAGCAGATCTACTTTGCAAGAATGTAGGTGTTTTGCTGGTAGAAACGGTTGGCTGTCAACATGGATTGGTGGCATTCAGTGCATTTGCGTCAAGTCAGACATTATCATACTACATGTACAATGCACGTCGTTTGACGCAACAACAATATCAAGCAGGGGTTGCGAGTACTCAGCCAGGCTGGGACCGCTCCACGTTCTTGTGTCGCACTATCTAGAGAGCTACGAATTCAAGCGTGATTTCGTGCTTGAAGTTAGTTCAGAGAGCGATTCCTCGTACCAGTGAAGTGTTTTAGGGATGGCGGACAGGTGAGCGAGTTACCTTGAATTTCACATAGTGCAACTACACTTCATAGCTGTTCCAACTAAATGCACTGCAGCAATCAGTAAAGAACCTACATTACGAAAGGTACGAAGACTGTAAACTAAAACAACTAACTCCAAGAACATGAGAACAACGGAAGATATAGAAAACGAGCACGGCAGGACAGTGCGTAGATTACTAAACTATTCATGCTCGGATATGGTACGGTGCACATAGAGAGTGTGCTCAGGTTACACACTCAGACATGAATGGTCAAACACTAGACACTGACCTGGATTGGACATCCGTAACAGTGGTCAGCTACGGCTAGGCTATAGCATACAATGCATGTAACAGCCATGAATGAGTCTCAGTCGACCTACCAAGCATGACCAGCACTAATGCACTGGACTACAACTATCGAAACAAAAGAAAGACCGGAATATTCTAGAACAAATCTAACATACCTCCCTCACGAACGAAGAGTGATAACTTACTAGCATCTGAGTGAGTCTAAAAAAAGAAAGTGCAAATAACGTAGCAATGAAGTGAACTAACAGACTGCAAGTAGTGTTCACTCAGTACCTTCGACTTCAAGGGGCACAAGCCGATGAACAGCTCGCTTGTAGAATCTCTCAGCCACCTTGACCTTCACTACTTGAACAATACCATCCTTGCCGGGATAGACCTCTGTCACACGCCCAAGCGGCCAGTGTGACCTTGCGGTGTGCTCGTTTCAATTGACCTGGAAGCTCTGCTGGCGGCACAATGTGCTTACTGGGCCATGTGGAGGTGGGCTTGGACAAGAAGGTTGGACCTGTCCACCATGTTGCATCATCGGCCAGCTGTGTCGCACCAACACCTCGACTTGGCATATCAGCAGGGTTGACTGTGGTGCTGACGTGACACCATTGACTTGCATTACTGAACTCTTGGATCTCCGAGATGCGGTTTCCGACTTCGATCTTGAATTTCCTGCTGGGCGATCTTACCCAGTACAACACATTCATCGAGTCAGTGTAGAAGTACTGCCGTGATACAGGAACATCAAGTGCCTCACCCACTGAGCAGCTCAACCGAGTGCCTAGCACTGCACCTTGCAGTTCCAGCATGGGGATGGTCTTGCGCTTGATAGGTGTTGGTCTTGCCTTGGCGAGCGCTAATGTCACCTTTGCAGTCCCGTCATCACGCTCTTGTCGGGCGTACGTCACGGCGGCGTAAGCTGATGCAGACGCGTCTGTGAACGTGTGGAGTGTCAGAGGCTGATCTGAACTGATCTCGGTGAAGCATCGGCTTGCCTTCACATCTCTCAGACTTGGGAACTCTGAGAACCATTGCTTCCACTCTGATGCTTGATCACTGTCCAGAGGATCATCCCAGTCTGTTCCACGGATGCAGGTGGCTTGGAAGAGAATGCGACTGCGGATGGTGAATGGACACAGCTGTCCTCTGGGATCAAACAGTCGGCACATTTGACTGAGCACTCCTCGCCGTGTGAACTGGACGTTGCTCTGTTCTGGATAGATGAATGTGAACTGGTCATCATCTGGCTCCCAGGCGACTCCAAGAGCCTTGTGAGGAAGAGGTGGCAGTTCACTGCTGGCTATGGTCATCATCTTGTTGCTGGCTCGATCTTCCGGTGGGATGGAATCCAACACCGCTTCCGTATTGCTCATCCACTTCCGCAAGTGAAAACCACCACGCTGTGTAACTTGTTGAAGGTCACTCCGAGTGACGATTGCAGATTGTACTGACGGTAGCGACATCAGCAAGTCGTCCACGTAGAAGTTGTCATCAATGGCCTTTGCTACCTCGGCGCCAGCCTCGCTGCTGAATTTCTCTGCCGTTGCTTTCAGTGCTCTTCCTGCGAGGTAAGGTGATGCACGCATGCCGAATACAACCCGGCAGAACTCAAAGAACACCACTGGATCCTGTGGTGACTCACTCCACATGAACCGATGGTACTTGCGATCCGTCTCGCCCAGCTCGACTTGTAAGAACATCTCAGAGATATCTGCGGCGAGTGCGATCGGCTGATGACAGAAGCGGAGTAAAACTTTTACCAAGTCACTCTGCAACTTCGGACCGGTGTGCATGAGATCGTTGATGCACTCTCCGTGCACCTTGGCTGAGCCATCAAACACCACGCGAACTTTTGTTGTGGCCTTGTCTTCTCTGATTACTGGGAAATGAGGCAGAATCCACTGGTCGACACCGGCAGCCTGAACTGCGGACGTTGATACTGTGTGAATGTAGCCCTTCTTCAGGTAGTTCTGAAGCACTTCTGAGTAGCGCAGCTGTACAGTAGGATTTTTCTGGAACAGACGGTGTAGCGAGCAGAGCCGCTTCCTGGCGTACTGTTCCGATCTCTGCTGAATCTTTGGCTTGCTACCGTCGCCTCGCCATGGGATGCCGACAACGAACCGTGTGCCGTTGTGGTGGAGACTTTGCACGGTCATTGCGTCAGCCTCACGGTCATCCGGAGTCAGGTAGGATGATGTGCTCTTGGCCTGCATGCCAACGCTCTCGAGGTCCCAGAACTTGTTGACGGTGTTTATCAGTGTACTGTCACTTACAGCCAGTAGTGATTGTTCCGTCATCTCTGATGCGCTGTCAGTCGGACCTTCGCCGAACAGTACCCAGCCCAACGGTGTCTTCCTGGCAATTGGACCTCCCTCACTGCAGAATCGTTCGGCAAGTGAAATGTGCAGCTGCGGCGCATTGAGACCAATCAACAGATCCACTCTGGACTCGTTGCTTGCAGGTACGACGTCACTGAGATGCGGCCAGCGTTTCAGTTCCTCTGTCCAGTCGAAGGCTGGGACGGGACGCATGATGCGCGGAAGCATCCACACTCTGACGGTCGTTGACGACTGGCCATCAGCGTGACATAGTTCAGCTGATGTATAATGCTCCAGACGGAGCTTCTCTCCCCCCAGAACAGCGGTATCCAGCGGGACGTTAGCTTTCGTTGTCTGTAGCCCGAGCTGGCTGACGAGTTCTGTGGTTATAAAGCTGCAAGAAGATCCTGAATCCAGGAAGACGTTAGCTTTCCTTGACCCTGTCGGACCCTTTGCGGTGGTGGCAACAGTCATGAACGCGACAGACTTGGGCTCGATGGTAGTGCCACATGCAGTCTGGGTGTGTGCTGTCTTGTCAGCTGCTGATGCCTCCGTGCTTGTATCCTGGCAAGTAGCTGAGTGGTCCTTGCTGTGTTGACTATTGGCTCCGGCTGTCCGTTGGTTCAACTTCGTGTAGTGTAGCAGGCGATGATGTGGCCTACTACAGATGCCGCACTTGGACTGCTTGCATGACTTTGCCTTGTGGCCTGGGCCAAAGCAGCAGATGCAGACGGGCTTTGGTTTGATGAAGTCCCATCTCTGAGGGATTGTCAACTGCTTGAATTCTCGGCAATAGCTGAGTGCATGGTCTTTGTTGCAGTATATGCAATCGTTGCTGCTGTCTGGGCTCTGGCCACTAGTAGTTGCTACAAACGTACGGTCGGGCCGCTTGCCAAACTTGGCTCCACCACTACTTGGTCGCTGCTCAGCCAGCTCGGCGCCACTCATTCGTTCTTCGACCTGGCGCAGACGCTGGACTCTCTTGAGCAGGTACTCTGAGAAGGCACCAATGTCGCACTGCGAGTCGTCGTGCTTTTCCATAAAGCGTGTCAACACGGACTTGGGTACCTTCTGCGTGACACTTAGGTACAACTCTCGCCCTGGTGTGATGCCGCTGGCGCTGAGATTGATGAGTGCATTCCTCAGCTTTACGGCAAAACTCTTCAACCCGTCGAGGTCTCGCTCATTGACGAGTCGCGGCGCTGACATCAATTCTTTTTCATACCGGTCGATGTCCCGTGTTGGCCCGCCATACCATGCATCTAGCTCATGCAGTGCGGCATTGTAGGCACCAGGACCATCCACAATTTCGGCAATCAACTCATAGGCGTCACCACCTGTCAGCGCTTCTCGCAGACGTGCGAACTTGTGCCCCTCTGACAAGAATGCATCGTCGTCGATGAGTTGCTTAAAGCGCTGCTTCCACCGGCTGTAATCGTTTGTCTTGCCACTGAATCTCGGCAGCTCTAGTGGTCTCAAATGCTGTCTGGACAGCATGCTGTTGTAAATCTGCAGCTGCTCTGGACCAGACAATACTGCTGCAGCGGGTGCTGGCACTGTGGTAGCTGCTGCTGACTTCTGTGCCCTGTGACTGTGTCCCTGCACAGAACTGAAGGGTGCAAAACTGGACTGCACAGTCACTGGTTTCCAATTACTGGGTGTGACACCACATGTAACACTAGTACTAGTGGTAGTCACGGTGACTTCATGTGCACCATCTAATGACATGGCGTCCTTTCATGCGGTTTACCGCACGGATTTATGAAGTCAGACATATTCCGATTTATTTGCATCAATCGCACAAAATGAGGTACATTTCTCTTGTAAACCCTGTCAGTTTGAGAATTTAGACAAACACCGAACAAATTTTAGCCGCGACGAGGATCGGGAGGAATCCATCATTATTATTTACATAGCTACTACCATCACGTCGACCGAGTGAAGATCGAAATGATAATGGAGTGGAGAGAAGAAGACCTGAACTAGAGTGCTTGAGAGACTATGTAGTGTCACATGAGAATTGCTTCGTTAGGAAGGCTCTACTTTTGAATGGAGAAGCCCAACGTCGCTGATTTGCATCGCCGTTTTCAAGCGCTGATCTGCAGTCGGAATGTTTTTGTAAATATATTCGTAGTTGTGGACGTGGATGGATTCAGCGCTCTGTTCTCTCAGCAAGCCTACTCAGTCCAACACGAAGGACTTCCATGAGCGAAACAACGTGCTCCTCGAGCAAGTGCAGCTCGGGGTAATATGGCCAATGCCACGGGAGACCACCTCGTGCCTGCATAAGGCCAAGAATTGATGGCAAGACATCTTTGATGAGCGCCTTCGACTTCAAGGACGCAATATATCTCCTCAGCAGTAACTGCAGCGCTCTTGCTGAAAATATCACTGCAAGCATGCACTAGGCATGATTTAGTGAAGAGCTACTTGTACTAGCGATTGGAGATTTGGTGTTGGCTTCCAGGGCTGGGCATATCTGCTCCATCATGGTAACTGGTGCGTTTGTCAAGGCAGTGCAGTTTCTGCTGCTGTTTCACAAGCCATATGCGCATATGCGCAGTGAGTAGGAATTTGTTGTATGATAGCTGAGGATCACCAGCCTTCATGGACAAACCTATATTGGGACTGGTTGCTGAACAGTGCACACCTAAATCTCTCAGCAAGCTCTCTTGCTCAGCTGGTGACGAACACTATATACCCGCTGCTTTGGGCTTGCAGCCCCGTCTCCCGACCGTAGACCGATCGAAAGGCTGTCACGGTCCTGTGACCATCGGCGTACAGTTGACGCTGATGGGGCATCGGATAAAGTGCTGGCGTCAGTAATTGTCGGGTATACCTGGAATCTACATCTACAGCTGGTTTTGACTTCCAGCCATCCTTCGTTAGTTATGCTTGTGACTATCATGCCAGCAAGTCGATCAGCAGCATCACCTCGCATCTTTGATGGTGAGGCCTGCAAAACGTCACCGACCAGTGACGATGCTCAAAAGGGCACCCTACCAGAGCTGGCGCAGTGCAGGCGATGCGCCGTTTTGCGAAAAGTCGACGTTTAGAGGTAGTTTTATTATCCCAAATGCCAAAGCGCGGGAAAATTCAAATGCAAACAGCTGCATTTTGGAGACGTATTTTTTATCGATAGTCGGGCAGTCAATGCCAATTTTCTCCAAAAGAAGAGTATTCAGAGGCATTGTTGTGCATTTTCCGTTGATACTATATGTGTGCCCTAGTATTTACATGAGCGAGGGTGGTGGTTCTGCTAAACCGTTCGCATGGCGGGCGGGTTTGTAAGAAGAAAGGCTTCAGCCATTGACGAGCGACGAGAAACCTGTCATTTCGTGCCATTTGAGTTAGCAGTAGCACCGGACAATACTGACACATGTCTGCGGCAGCAAACATAGTGTACTCACGGATCAAAAACAGCCACAATGTGTGTCACTGCGGAAACAGGCTGTAGAGGTGCATTTGCAAAGCTGCTGATTTTCGTCGTCTTTCCATGCACAGGGTACGTATCATGCCCTTGGCATAGGCCAAAGCACGAAAGCTTTAGTTGGACACCACCCACAATCTCCACGTGGGTCCCAGTGTACCTGCTGCTGCCGATGAGAACCGCCCTGTAAGCGGTTTACCCACCCATGTGTCCTCAATATGACTGAGAATACATCAGTAATATGCCATACACATTGGAAACCTGTACAGTTCAATCCAATTTAGACCAGAATGACTGCATTGGTTGGAAATGCATTGCACCATTCCACTGAAACGTTAACACACAAGAACAGGAAAAGGATGTAACAGAAAACGAAAGAACGTAACACAAAAGATAATCCCAAACCGTCCAGCGGAAAAAAGAACGTGGGAAGAAAAGCACTGTGGCTGGTGTAGGAAGCAAATACTGCAAATACTAGGCTGCACGGGAAGTACCAAATTATGTGGTTGTCGAGCATCTCCTCAGAGTCGACAAAGGGATAACGGAATGAGAGAGACCGACTAATTTTCGTCAAAACTGTCACAAGCCAGCAGCTGGTGATTGTTGAGGAAGGTAGTTACACCACTGACCGACACCACTGCTGTGGGTAATGATTACGTGCAGCACCTGACAGCAATAAACCAGACAAAGCAGTACAATACCATGCAGAAGATGAAATGCTTGATGGAGTATAATAAGTAGCAGACAAACTGTTACACAATGGAGCAACATTATTTGCTATTAAAAATGGCATAAATATAGTATTACTTTGACGAATACCCGACACATAACATTCCCGCTACAAGCATTACCAACTCTACTGTCCCTGATGCAGGAGGGACTAGTGGCACACATTCCTACTGCATACCCCAAAGCTAAGAAAGGTGGCATCATGCTCATGTGAGCCAGTTGGGTACCACCCAAGCTCTGCACCGGGCTCTGTCCAGGTGCCTACACACAACCCTGGAGGACGAATGCAACCCCAAAACACGATGTAGTAAAGGGCAAGTCCTTGGACACAGCTGTCAAAGTTATCCACCAAATTGACCTACAGCAGGCCAATGTACAGTGGAGGAGAGTACCGAGAAACTAAGAATAAAGGACTTATTGTCTGTTTGTCAGACTATCTGTTCCCGGGGAAAATCGCGATTCCGCGGCCGCGTTTTTTTGCGATTTTTTAAAAGACCGCGTTTTCCGCGATTTTCCCGCGTTTTTTGAACTTTTTTGTTGCGCTACACGTACACACAGTGCACTGTTCGGTTGACCGTTGTGAGCCGTTGACGTCAAGTAGAGAGTCTACGTGTAGGGCGCGCGTTCCCTAGCATACACATGGCACATGACCGGCTCCCCTGTAAAATTGCCGCATATCAATAATATTCACAGCATACTTACCGCAAATTCACCGCAAATTATGCCATATTTACCTGCAAGTTGCACCGCAAACTCTGGGATTTTTCCGCGATTTTCCCTGGGGACAGGACTATCCACCCCAAACTATGGTCATGGGGGTGGACAATACTGGATGGTCACAATTCCACCTCGCTCTCGTTTTCTCCCCTGGAGTGAAGCTTCACACACATACCTGTAGTACCTGTGGTGTCTACAAGAAGTAGGAACAGTCCTTCACTTACTCCACTGCTTTGTATAAAAGCCTGTCTTATGCAGAAGCCTGTTCTGAACACAAGCCTGAGTTTCAAGATATGCAACTAGCAGAATAATGTGGATTTTGCATCGGCAACCACAAAAAGTTTGGTTTGACTACAAACATAATGCAACATAATGTAAATAGAGGCCTAACCACCACACCGGCTTCTACAGAAATACGCCTGGCTTTCATACACGACATTACAGTAAGTCATCCAGTTCGCACTCACCCACTTCAGTTGGTGCTTGCAGACGTATTAGACGCATACAGCCAGTCAAGTACGCTTGCAGGGATCTTTTCTCAACGGGGAGTAACGGCTGGCCATAATACCTACAATACATACAGAATGACAATGGTGAACATAGCAAAAGGGAAGGGCATTCAAGACCTGCAGCTCCATGTATACATGCCGAGTGTGAGCGTGGTGTCTGTGGACAAAATCGACAAAGAGGTACCCTGGCAACAAATGTAGTGCCAGGATGCCAGCAGAAGGCTACGTGGCACACCAGTCCAACATGTAAATCAACTACCATCCACTGGTCACACTAGCCCAATTGATGCAAGTACCACAGTTGAAGTTCCATGGCCATTTGCCTGCCACATGCCAATCACAACAAGCACTGAGGAAGAAACTGAGACGAAGCGACGTCAAAGCAAAACACTAACACAGACAGGCGGATTCCACACACAGTGAAACTTCAGTATGGAGTAGTACCAAGAGCCCATGGATGGCGGTGCCGTAAAACTTACAAGTGGAATTGAGCTACACTGGAATAATTGTTGTCTCTGATTATCGCTTAATTTAAGCAACAAAATCTACTATCAACTACCCACCTCTTCAAGGTAGGGATTGTGAAGAACCAATGACCTAGTCATGGTGTGGGGCTCTGACAAACATCTTGCAGCAGTCAGACAGCCTGTCACAGGCCTGACAAAAGGCTGTGGATGCAAGTCCGCTGCAGGATCATACAATGCGAGTGCAAAAGGCAAATCTGTTATGCAGGCCAGGGCAAAAATGCCACACTTTCTGTTCAACAACACCTCCGCGAGGGAAGAATGCGACAGTTCCAGTAAGCAAAAGGTTGTTTCATTTGAGGAGACTGAAAAGCAAGAAACCAGCAACGAATTGGACCAAGATTGAGTCAATGTGCACACAGGTGATGCGTGCGTGTTATCGTTTACTGGAATTATGGCATAATATGCTAGAAACATGGAATGCACTACGAATTCTGACCTGAAATACACAAATATACACATCTGCCTGAGTTTCAATGAGCATGGATAGACGTGGAACACAATACTTCCACTGGAAATGGTGATATACCGGGAACACAATCCATCTGCTGCTATATGGGCGAGAAACTATTGTAACCTGGGATATTTTGAAACTTAGGTGTGATGAAATGTCACTTTCGTGGATTTTACACATATCACAAAAAAATTCTTTCATTTCGTGCCATTTGAGTTAGCAGTAGGTCTGGACATAGACATGACCAAATCTTTACACACGTTGGTTGGGACTATCTTTCTGCTATCTCGGATATTGTGTAAGATTTGATGGAGTCCATTACTGGCTGAATACCAAAGAAGGGAGGAAATTTCTACGACTGTACTGTAAGAAAACGACGACACGAAACTTCCCAATGGCTCAATAGCTGGCCCCAAAAATATTACGGATTACTTTAGTACTTACTCAAGTCACATCGAAATCCTTATCGGCGGGCTCCAGGCTGTGGAACGCCTCCAGTGGGTCTGAATGTTCGACAACGTCAGCCATTACTTCTTCACGGAATCGTCATCTTCACCTCTGTACAATATGAGCTGACCGGGATAATAAAAAAGGGCTTTTTTTCGCTCTGGCGCATCGACTGAGTGTATGGTGCAGTCTTTCATGAATCCATGCCGGAACTATGCTGTTTGGCTGCTGTAGCTCTGACGCTTGCGTGTGTGCCTTACATTAAGGGCAGCGGGCCGTCTGCTCTAGCCATTTGCCAATGCATGCACGGCTGAACGTCTACCAGCAAGCTGCAAACACTTCTCTCCCTACCACACTGTGACATAGTGGACATTGTGCGTGTGTTGTTGCATTCCTATCTGAACTGAACTGTTCTGGATGCAGAGATTTACCCACTAAGCCCTAGAGAAATATGAATAAATACTATACTACTACTATTACTAAACTTGGTATGCGGGTGTGACGCGCTGCTGCTCATCAGATTCGGTCCATGCGACGCTCGTGTTTTTAGTTTTGTTATTTTGTCTGCCTTTTTTGAATTCGTAAACCGAACAGACTAAACTATCCAGTGATCAGGTACTGGTGTGGTGGGGCGAGGTTTTGTTGGTGATGCTGCTGTTAGTGGTGGTGGCGTGCATGTGCTCGTGCTTGCGGGCGATGGCCTGCGTTTTCTCCCATGCCGCAAGTTTGTCTTGCGTTTGTGTTCTGCATTTGGACTTCCTGCCAGGCTTGGGCTTGCATTTCAAACAGTTTGTCCCACTGTGTGGCTCCCAGTCTTTGAGCGGTGTACATCCACCTCTAGAGCTCCAGAGAATGTTGGGCCCCTGGCAGTAACAGTGCATTCCATGGCCAATTTTCAAGTGTGGCAAAAATGTTCAGGGTGTATTTGGTTTCATCCACATTGAGATGAAACACTGCCAAAATGGATTCAGTATGATCTGCCACACGATACTTCGTCTGTCCACTCCTTGACGCGAATTTCTCCCCTCCAATACGAAAACACGACGACAGGAAGCTAACATGAGCCTCCATTTCTGAACAAAATTACGTCTCTAACATGGCCACGAAAAGCTACAGTTATGCACGTCAAGCTTAGGACTACACGAAATCGAAAGGCTAGGACATCGAGGTATACTAGAAAATTGTCTGCGAGGCGGAGAAAATTCGCTGACGAGGTTGGCGAGCCCTTGAAATCGAGCGACGATCCAAAAATAATTGCACCCACGTCGAGAAAGAAACCATGCGTAGCGCGTGGGTAACCCAAGAAGATCGCTCGAGCGGCGGCACAGTCGAAGGCAAGGCCAGTCCAAGCTCTAAACTCTATCGAATGACCTGGCAAACACCCGTGGTTTCGGTTGACCTTGCCCGTTTGAGATGGAAGTCGAGCGAAATTGCAAACATACGACTAGGCCAGATCGCGTAAAAAATGAAAAAGATTAAAATTTGGCCGCCATATTTAATGAACGCGCATCGCATGCATGCAGCATGGGACAGCCGTGTAGTGGCCACACTGTATGATCTGCCAACACCAGGCCCTAGGTGTGTATTCACTGATGCTGTCACCAGTCCTGGGTATCCCTTGTTTAGGGAACACTTGACATTGTCTGGTCGCCAAGGTGATCATGGTGATCCGTAGCTGCGCGTAGGCCCGCGTAGCCGCCTTGCCGGCCTCGGCCCTTTTACCTCGGCAGACCGCACCGGAAAAAAGATGACGACGCCGTTTTGGTGAATATTTTCTTCGCGCTCGATGGTCTGTGCGCCAAATTCAAAAAAAGTCGAAAGCCTTTTCTTCTTTCTCGAGTGATCCTTGGTGATTTTTCAAGCTCCCTCGCAGTGTTCAACACCCAATGGCTCAGGAGAAGAAAAGTCGAAAAAGTGTAGTCACTGGCCTCGTTTCAAGTGACAGTAGGAGAAGAAATTTCCTTTCAAAACGGAAGAATGGACTCCTAAAAAAGGTAAGTTGAATGCACATCGCAATTCTGAACTTGCGCAATTTGTCATGAAGACTTCGCTTCATTTGTGTTCTGCAGGCCGCAGAGTTGCATGTTGGAAGTGGAGCCAAGGTTTTGGTCGTGGTGGTCGCTCCTTCTGGAGTTCGACACACGTACAGCTCGCATCCTGTGGACGAGATTTTGCCCTCAACCAGCTCAAGTGTCACAACAGCAAGAGCTGACCCAGTCGCATGCTCTGCAAGAAGCAGTTCATATCCCACCGCGATGAACACCCCAGATTCCACCACGAGCCCCACTGAAGAATGAAAATAAAATTTGGACTGCTGGTCCTTCAAACATCACCTGTTGGATACTTGTTGTGTGCAAACACCATAGTCTGGTATCAATTCACCTCAGAATGTCAACATTGAAATAATAATGTATGCGTCATCAGAAATTGACACTTTCTGGACAACAGAACAATGCTAGTAGTCACAAACATCACACTGAACCACTATGAATAGGAGCACTGGTTTGTACCACATGTACATGCACCTCAGTGTCTCAAATGGAAATAGAGGAAATAGCCGTGATCATGGTGATAGCCGGGCCATGATGCAGAACCACTTGGGGCCGTCAGATTAATTCCTGGACCGAGCCAGCCGGGAAAAAACCCTCGCGCTGACGGACGCAGTAGTGAGGGAAAAAACCGGGTGTATATCCCCAACGGCGACATAGGAGTAACGGATAAGACCACGGCGACTCGAGGTAGCCACGACCCTTGTTCGAGGTACAGCGTCTCTGCACTGGAGTCTCCCACTGCTTGAGCCAGCTGCTCAATGAAGTGGAAAGTATATAAATGGAGAAGACATGGTGTCAATAAGAAGTGTAGCGCTCGCACTTGACAATGCAAAGTGTGTGGCATGACGCAAAATGCACATTGAAGAACTACGGAAGCCAGGACCAGCCCTCCCTTGGCGAGTACACCGACTGTGAAGCAGTCACTGCAAGGAAAGTGCACACACAAGAACAACACAGAAAGCTACTTGAGCAAAATATTGCTCATCCATGCATACTATGGACACAATCGGACTGCATTCGAGCGAGGCAAACATCTTTTCTTTGCATGTTGGAACACTGTACAAGACACATAAAGACACACATGTCTACTAACTGAAATAAATTTATTGCACAGAAAAGTCAATATGAGTGTGTCCGAATGTACCTTTGAATAGACAAAAGCACATAAACCGCACACCAATGGATGAAAGTGGCGAAAGAAATGCAAGGCACAAAGCACTCACCACTCATGGAGGCATATCATCAGCTGCATTGCCGCCGTCAGCCATGCACGAAACCATATCCCGCATCTGGCGCACGACCTTCAACACTGCTGGCTGGGTGGAAGCCTGCTCCAGTTCATCGCACAATGCAGAGGCGGCATTGTTGTCGGGCGCGAGATGTAGTAGCTGCTGGAATTCTTTCCTGAGGGAAGCCATAGTCCGTCTCGTATCACTCCCGTGTTTCTCGGCCTCTTCGGTGGTCAGAAAGTGTGGTGGCTGAGACTGCCTGGACAGCGGATAGGCACCATCTCCAAATAATGTCGCTAGCTGCTTCCGTCTGGCTTTACCCACAGCAGTGAGGTTCACAGCATCCGGCACCAATTCCTCACCAGGACTGAAGGATTGCAGTGGTCTTGAAAACGCTAGCTCACCATTGGGAACCAACATTGTTCTCAGACGCACACGCCACACCAGAAGTTCCTTAGCATAACCGGGACGGGCTCTCGATTCCGACTTGGGATCTGGCAGCTGTAGGGCACTGAATACTTTGGAGCGGAGCTTCATGAGCTGCTCATGGTTACGGATCACCCGGCGCCACATGTTGGAGTCTTTCTCCCCTGACACCCATGACTTCACATTGGCATTTAGCTCTTCGACGATAGCATCAAGTGCCTGGTGGAGGTCACCCTTTCCTGACCTGCTGAGGAAGAGAGTGCTGTCAATGAGACTTCGCAAATCTGTTGAGAGCGAGAGGCGACGGACTTCCTCGGACATGTCAATCACTTGATATGTTGTGTGATTCCTCGCATGCAGCAATGGAGAGAGAACTCTGCGAGACTCAATGAACAGTGGTACGTCGTTGTGCCGTGCTCCCCGCCGAAGCATGAATAGTGGAAAGCAGTACTGAGTGCACAGCTCCAGCAGCCAGGAATACGTATGATTGTTGGTGAACTGCTTGCACCAAACGAAGAAACCCTCTGCTGAAGGGGTGTTGCTGCCAGATTCCTGGGCGAGTACATATGGCCGCAGAAGTTCGTCAAAGCAGCCATCCGTGAAACGGCTCAGCTCATCGTATGTGCGGTGGTGGTCTTTGGCTTTGAAGGCCCAATCCAATTGCTTAGGAGAAGTATATCCCTGGCTAATAGCGAACTCCTTATAGGCAAATGGCCACAGAGACTTGACAATGCACTGGATGATGTTCATCTCCCAGTGCAAGCCACCTGAAATGGGTAGTACCCAATCAAACTCCCCATCAGGAATGTTTGTTGGGGGCATCAATTCACCCTTCTCAACCAGATCATCTAAAAACTTCCTCAGCCTCTCACGTAACGTACTCATGTTCCCTGTTACACCCAAGCCCCTTGTACTGCATGCACTCTTCAGGTCAGCCTTCGACATTGAGTCGACATGCAATATTCCTGCTTCATGGTTAGCCAATTTGGCTGCATCACGCCTTGCCTCCTCCATCACAGTCAATATGAGGGAGTACGGCAAGCCGTCACACACAACAGTGAGCCATTCCCTCACCCCCTCGTCACCTACACATTGTTTTACCCTTGCACGCTTCCCAACATCGCGCAATACAATGCGAACAGCTTCATGGGAGTTGGGGTTGACAAAAATGGGCTCTAGAAACCCAACATCTGCCGGGGACACAAGGGGCACATCTTCACCACTGGTCTTTGAGGACACTCTGGTTAACGAAACACCGGTACTGCTGTCCACATGCGGTACATACACAAACTCGGTGCCTGACTTTAGTGTGCCTGGCTTGGTGACTTTGATGTGCTCGGTCGACACCACTGATTTGCCTTGGTCAGCTTGCAATGCCTGCCTAACATTTACCCTGCATGTCGCATTGGGACACAAATGCAGCCTGCGCTCCATCTGTGTGCAACATTTAGGGCAGATCAGGTACCGTCTTTCTCGTTCCAATGATGCAAGATGGCTATCAACTGGGTCAGCTGATAGCCTCTGCTCAGACACAAGAGCTTCAATCCTTTTGTTCATGAAACTCAGCAAGTGTGGCTTAATCAAAGATTCTTGATCTAGAGGATCCGGTACCTGATCTATTGCACATTGAATCTCAGTGACAGTTGGAAATTTCCAATTTCGGAAATGGAAATCTCCCTTTTCTTGGGAAGGAACATGGGAATGACGGGCATAGACAACATTGGTCAGAACCTCATACGTGGAACGATTGCTGCCACGGGAGAGGTACGACTTAAGTTGTCGTTGCTCATTGTCAAACCCAACACTCACGAACCCTTCAGGAACTTGCAGCTCGCTACCACCCAACCCAGCCAACCAATCTTTCACGAGCTTATAACTCCCCCCCCGACCCTAGGTGACCAAAAATGTCGAGGGTTGTCTTGCTTTGGGTGATGCTGTACACTATCGCCTGGAGCAAAACATGGAATTCTGCACAGTAATTCAAGTTAGCAGCAGCATAGAGAGACTCCATGGCTTGCGCTTGAAGAACTGTGCGGCGGTCGGCAACGGAGAAGTCAAGTGCAAACGTGCTGGAGGTCATGCCCGTCACAAACGCCTCAACAAACTTGTTGTAGGGTTTGTTGCTGAACTGACCCGTCGGGATGGACAGCAAGTTCTGCAATGATCTACTTGACTTTGCTGACTCAACAGCACTCAACACATCTGCTTTGAACTGCGGCTGCTCAGCCACACACAGCCTACGTAGCAAGTCCAAGCGACCTTCCGAGGTGCTCAGAAGCGAACCTACACTTTCCTTTTTCATACTAATTATTTCCTTCTCAAGTAATTCAATTTTGCTATCCTTCTGCAAATGCATCTTCGACAATGCAGCCAACGCACAGTTTTTGGCCACCAACACTCTCTCTAAACGCTTCAAAGAATCAACATTTTCAACATTATCAACATTTTCAACATTATCTACCGGTACTTCGTTTGAGGCTGAGGAGGTTTCTCGGGACTGGCTGAAGACAGGGGGAAAAGAATCATCTACATCATCGCAGGAGCTTACCTCTGGGAGAGCCTGAGGAACATCATCGCTGGCATCTACCATGTCTACAGAGTCCCCATAGCTATCGCCCCTCCGAGGCTCGTACAGAGGGTGGTTGGTGATTAAATCCTTCAAGTCAGCCAGTCGTCCGCAGCTCCTACAAATTGCAGATACGTCTCGTCCAGAGAGCGCTGACAACACTGCCAGGATACACTTGCGAACCCGAACATCCTTGGAGCTATGCCGAGGCGATTCCCACTCATCGTGGAAGGGATTCTTGCACGCAAACTGGTATTGAGAACCTCCAGAGTGTCTCTTCTTCGTGGATATCTTGCCCATGATGACAAAATGTTGAAAATGCAAAACGGGCTTCTTCTCGTCGCTTCTCTCTCGAGAACGACATGGCAGAGTTCAATTTTTTTTCGGGCAAAACCTCCATAAACCCCTACAGGCCAGGCTAAAACACTGTCCAACCTCCGCACTTTTGGGGTTACCTCCGCAAAGTTACCTAAAGAGGGACTGATATTTCAAGGCAAATCGAAATTGTGCCACATCTCTTTCAATGAGAACAGAGGCCTTCGCAGCGCATCCATCTTCCTCTTTTTCGGGCCGCGGGCGCACGGCGGGCGCACGGCGCGATTTGACCGTGCGTACTTGTCAATCTCCATATCAACGCCTGAGTTTTCGTGTAAAAACCGAATGTTCCCTGAACAAGGGATTCCCTCGACTGGTCACTGGCTGGGTCATGGCAGGTAAGCCATATCTTACTCCTGCCAGTCCTGGTCTGATTGAGCTCACTGGATTGTAGTTCAATGCACTTGGCCCTGGGCCAGGGTTGAGGCTGCTGTGCACGTGGCTCACCTGAGTGGCTGGATGAATGGTAATCTGGCTCTGGCTCTGGTGACTGGAAGGCTGGGGCACACTTGGCTGAGCTTGCACAGGCGGCTTAGCTACAGCCAGTACACGACCTGTACTGTTCACACCTTGGTGATGATTCCAGGACACAGAAGCGATCGAGCTGTGGTCGTCAGGAACACTTCCTGGGCCCTGCGCACCTACTGCAGCTCCAGAGCTATCCACACGGTCTACAGGCACAGGCACTGAACCTAGTAAATCTGCCGCCGCAGTTTGTAGATCCACACTGTTACTCAACTGAACCTTGCTGAGGTCAGGCAAACTCTGAGCGCCATTCTCCGGGCCTTGCTGATCTAGATCGCCTTCTTCCTCCGGACGAGGATCTGCGTCAAAGCCAGCACGACTAAGCGTGACAGCTCCTTGTCTGGGTTTACCAGCTCCGGTATCCAGATTGCTGAGCTCCAGCCTACGTAGAAACTGGGCATGACGCTCCAGCAAACTCGTCGTCAATCTTGGACTCTGAGTTTCCTTGCCTGCACTGGCGATTGGCATCATTGCCTCGGAGCTTGCAACAGAGTGCCGACTCCCAACGGAGGAGAGTTCAAGTGCAACAGCTGCCTTATCTGCTGCTAGGCGCTTCTGAATCACGTCTCTCTGCAACTCCAAGCGTTTCTTCGCCAGTTGCTCCGCTGTCTCCATCTCAAGTTGAGCCAGCTCCTCAGCCGCTTCGAACTCTTTCTCCGCGACTAAGACCTCTAGTTCAGCCGCTTTGCTGGACGTTCTCGAGGCCTTTGAGACACTGTCCCACTCACCAAGCCTAGAAGGCGGCCTACCCTTCGTAGTTCTCGAGCTAATTCTTTTCTCCGACATCGTCGGATCCGGCTCGAAGGACCAGAAAATGTTCCAACTAAATGCACTGCAGCAATCAGTAAAGAACCTACATTACGAAAGGTACGAAGACTGTAAACTAAAACAACTAACTCCAAGAACATGAGAACAACGGAAGATATAGAAAACGAGCACGGCAGGACAGTGCGTAGATTACTAAACTATTCATGCTCGGATATGGTACGGTGCACATAGAGAGTGTGCTCAGGTTACACACTCAGACATGAATGGTCAAACACTAGACACTGACCTGGATTGGACATCCGTAACAGTGGTCAGCTACGGCTAGGCTATAGCATACAATGCATGTAACCATGGTAACAGCCATGAATGAGTCTCAGTCGACCTACCAAGCATGACCAGCACTAATGCACTGGACTACAACTATCAAAACAAAAGAAAGACCGGAATATTCTAGAACAAATCTAACAATAGCATTAGCAGCTAGCCTGAAGGGTTGGGAACCTTTTTTGTTTCAATACTTCGTTGCTGTTTCTTGTCTTTGCCATTCGGCCCGATGAAAAGCTCAAAATCTGGGAAGGAGGGCAATCCCAACGGCGGAAATCCGAATAAGCCTCCACCTAAGTGAGTACACCAAATCTTGTTTATTCCCGTAGCTATGCAAAAGACGTTACTTCAGTTATAGGGGATTCACACACACGGGTAAACCTGAGGTCACGGGACAAGGTAAAAGTTCAGACCTTCGGTCAACGGAGTGGGGCCGTTCACACCCATGGTCGGTTTTTCCTTGGCCGCACGTTTGGCCATGACCTTGTGGCGGGGCAACTAAAAAAATAATCTGAACTGCATTTTTGTAGTGCATTCTGTACTGTATCTTGCTTTCGCCATGCACGATTTTCCGATGGGACTGTCTGAAAATGCAAGTTGCGATGCACTCGTACAACTAGGGTTCAGAGTTCTCGCCAAAGACAAGATCTACGCATGCCCGTCTTATAGCCATGGGATTTTTCCCTTGACAAACGCCCTGAGGCCCACGACCACGGCTCTGCCAATTTTTTCCCGAGAGGTTCTTCCTTTCCCCAGTTATGGAAACTATGGTACTGGGGGAAAGGAAGAACCTCTGGGGGGGGGGGGGGGAACTGGCAAAGCCGTGGCCGTGGGCCTCAGGGCGTTTGTCTAGGGATAAATCCCATGGCTGTAACACGCGCATGCGTAGATCTTGTCTTTGGCGAGAACTCTGAACCCTAGTTGTACAAGTGCATCGCAACTTGCATTTTCAGACAGTGCCCATCGGAAAATCGTGCATGGCGAATGCAAAATACAGTACAGAATGTACTACAAAAATGCAGTACAGATTATTTTTTTAGTTGCCCCGCCACAAGTTCATTATAGCAATAAAAACTGCTTTATGGCAGCTTTCTAAAAAAAAGTTATTGTGTTCTAGTCCTGGGTCCGGCATAGGCTATAGAAAATTTATATAAATAATAAATTGCTTCCAAACTGGCCTGGACTCCGTCTAAAAAGTAAGAAATTAACGAAATGTGAATTAAAAATTCACACAAAACCTCACAATACTCACAACACTTGACAATCAAATACTGCTTTCAACACTTGTTAAGTCTGACACTGTACTTGTACTGCACCAACATGCATGCATGGGAAAGAGGATCACGAAGGGAAAAGGTCTTCTAGCTTTTCATCCTGTGTGTGATTATTGTGAGGTTTTGTGTGAAATTTTAATTTTCGGCACTCACATTTCGTTAATTTCTTACTTTTTAGACGGAGTCCAGGCCAGTTTGGAAGCAATTATATAAATTTTCTATAGCCTATGCCGGACCCAGGACTAGAACACAATAACTTTTTTTTAGAAAGCTGCCATAAAGCAGTTTTTATTGCTATAATTTCTTTTGTTTTTTCTGTCACCAATCAATGGAATGCCCTTATGTAAATGATGGCCTTCACATCATATCAATACCGTATTATACGCATTGATGTGCAAGCCTTTTCTTGCAGAAAATGGCACTAGCATTATACTTCTGCTGGGGAAACATGTGGTTAGTGGTGGTGATACTTGATACTTTTTTTATACGCAGGTCATTCTGTGCATGTTGCTGTTGCAGAATTTCAGGACTGTCATAAAATTGTCTTGCCTTTCAGATATTTCAGATTTACTTGAGAAATGTAGCCAGGTGCGTGTCGCAGATGTTTTTGTTGATTCTGTGTTTATACATGTTATTGGTTTATAATCATGGGTTATCGTGATAAGGTCATCCTGTATCATATTGCACTGAAATCGTAATCCTGTTGATGTCGATACAACTGTTGGAAGTAGTTCAATGACTGCAAACTGTTAGTCCACGATTTTCTAAAACAACACAGCAAAGGAGGAACAATAAACATGTATTAAAATGTAAACAAATACATTGTTGAGTCCGGTACCTCGTTCCAACAACTACACTGATCCTGAGGATAAAAGGGGCAAGGCCATTGGAGGTTGGAGGTCATTATTATCAAATTGTCAAATTTTTGATAGGGCAATCCCGCAGGCCTAAGGCCTTCTTACAGGGTACCCTGGAGGTACTGTCAATAACTGAGAGATAAACAAGGCACTCCATAATAATAAAATGGTACACATCTTTTGCCGTGAGTATGAATGATATCCAGTCGAACCTCTTTAGGACGAACACCAAGGGACCGATGGTATTTATTCTGTGAGTTTGTCTTAACCTATTTTATAACCAGTGAATACATTTCTCCAATAGACATACGAACAGATTTTTTCTACAGCGAAAGATTCTAAGCCACACCGACTCGTCTCGTATGAAACAAATGAGTCACTGAACCTTTCTTTAGCAACATGACGGCAACTGAAACAGCAACAGAGAAAGTACGATACATGTACAGCACATTCTTGCAGGTACTACAAACAGATTGCAGATCGTAATTTTTGCTTTGGCGGCACGCAACTTTATTTGGGGCAGTGCAATCTCGGCGGTACTCACAAATCAAACAGCCCAGACTCGAGTAAACGCCCAAAATCAGCACACTTTTCGTAAATGAAAGAGTCAACACAAGCAAATGAATCAAAGGGAACTGGTCAACTCACCTGTCATTGAGTAATATTCCGCGAAAGGAGGTCTCAGCAGCGCCGAAACGAAATAAGCCAGGCCAGGAGACAAAATATCCGAAACAGCTCATGCAAGAAGCAGTTCCAAAGAAGGAAGTTCCTCGAGCCTCGTGCATGCACATCCGAAAACATGGAAAAGGCAGCAATGCAACAAAAAGTCTGAAATGCACACGCATGCGGCCAGCCGGCCGCGCGATGGTAGGAGCCATGGAGCAGCTCCCTGGTCCAGGACCAGGTACCGAGCATCTTACGTAGAAACTTACGTAGCTACGTAGACAACGTGTCTAAATAGCGGTGTCGTTAGGTAGCGCCATGTGAACACAATAATAGAAAAGCTGACAGGATCGCTTTTCTAAATGACCAAACATGCGGCCAAGGGAAAACTGACCACGGGTGTAAACGGCCCCACTCCGTTGACCGAAGGTCTGAACTTTTACCTTGTCCCTTGACCTCAGGTTTCCCCGTGAGTGTGAATCCCCTATAAGGCCTCGGTCACACTACGGCAAAAATGCTGCGTCAGGGTCAGAATCATGAGCTTTTCCATGGCAACTGACGCAAAAGCGGGAAGTTTGAGCGTCAGACGCTGCTGCGTCTGACGTGGGGAAACCGGCTGCGTTGCCGCTGATGGGAGTGACGCTTGGCGGAAAAACAGTGTCTTTCAAGTAAAATTAGTTTCAAGACAGTTGCTTGAGTTGAGCAGTCATTCGACATTCATCTCTTTAAGGTTTGTTTTGTTCCCTCTTTTTTTCGAGATGAGCCGTGGACCTACGAGGCCGAGGCTGCTCTGCTCCGAACCTGGCGGAAGAGCGAGGCGTTTTCTGAGAAGAAAATGATGTCGAGAAAGGACCAGTTGTTTGAGTGGGTCATCGGCCAACTGGAGCCTGTTGACTTGTGAGTGTTGTGTTGTCGTCAAGAGCCCCAAAAAGGACAACCAGTAGGACGAAGTCAGGAGAAACACAGCTGCGATGCAGACTTTTCTTGCCTGATCCATGACACTACAACTGAAAATGGCTTCAAATTCGGAAAGAAACAACAACGATCGTGCACGCGTGGACCTTTCGTCTTCTTGTAATCAAAAATCAACGAAAAATTTGAAAACTTTGTCCGACAATTTTTTGGTATAATAAGCAAAAGGCCGGTTTCCGTGGGAATCCGTGTCGTCATTGAGTTTCCCTGGTGATCTTGTGACGTAGACAAATGCGTCAGGCCGCGGCAGTCATGAGCTGCAAAAAAACACTGTGTGACCCCGCGTCTGCGTCGAGTGCTGCGGCTTGATGCTGCGTCCAGCTTCAAACTTGCCGTAGTGTGACCTAGGCCTAACGTCTGGCGCTAGCCAGGGTCCACACAGCTTTAATTTCGTGTTGGTTTGTTTGTTAGGCTGTGTTTACATGAGAAATTTCAACCCGGGTCGAGTTCATCCCGGGTTGAAAGTCTGTACGATAGACAAAATAGGTGATCGTTTACATGAAGAGAGTTGACCCGGGTCAAATACTGATATGCCGCCAAAAGTCCACTTCTGGAGACCTGTACTGTCACGTGAATCCGTTCGCACGAAAATTGCATGTGCAGTGCTGTTCAAACCTGGCGCGAGATACGCACAGAAGTACGTTTGTACGATTTTCTTGACCCGGGTTGATTTCAACCCTCCCCCAAGGGGACCCCCAAGGGGAGGGTTGAAATCAACCCGGGGCGAAATTTCAACCCGAGTCAAGCGCAATGTGTCATATAAACGTGCCATTCATTTTATGCACATGGCGGGTTGAAATCTGACCCGGGTCGAACTCAACCCGGGTTGAAACGCCTCCTGTAAACACAGCCTTAGTTAGTTTGCGCCATCGGCATGCCTGGCGATATCCCATACCTGTCCCGTACCGTACCATCAAGGATAGCATCGGTATAGCGGTATACCTGGCGCTCCCTTACCTGTCTCGTCACGTACTGTCAAGGACAGCGTCGGCATGCCTGGCGCTATCTCGTACCTGTACCGTACCGTACCATCAAAGACAGCTGGCCACAATATTCAAACAGGTCTTTCAAATGCAAGATCATAACGTGAAGTAACTTGGAAGAAAGAGTATGTATGCGAAGTGCATCGGGGAGTGCATGCAAGGCGATAGTGCGGGTTCGAATCCTAGGTTATGTCTTTAAAAAAATAGGAGAAATGAAAAATTTATAACGTCCCTATGATTTTTTTGCTTAGGTCATCAAGGTGGTGGACGGTGTCGTATTACCCTCGAATGCAAAGAGAATGTTGACTCTCGCTCGGCAATAAAGCATAGCGTAGTGCCCTGAGCTTCCAAGCTCTCTTGTTCATTTCGTTACCACTATTGTCCTTCGAAGGGGAACTGGTAAACTTCATTAGCGTGTGTTTGCCATGCAGGAGTAAAGCTGGAATGGTGGGCAAACACAAAGGACGACGGAGGCCGGCCAAAGAGAGTTTGGGCTGGACTCTCACCAGTGGCGTTCGGGGTATTCCTCCACTCAAGCAACGCACATTGAAAGGAATCCACGTCGAGATCGTCATTGCTAGTGGTCTTGAGAATCAACGACTTCATTGCTTTCACAGCATTCTCGGCCAGCCCATTCGACTGCGGATATTGGGGAGAGGATTGAGCGTGTTGGATTCGCCAGGTTTGACAGAACTTGGCGAATACATGGGACTGGAACTGAGGGCCACCATCACTGGTAAGTACCTCGGGGACACCAATGTCAGGAGACCAGTGGCGAAGAGACCGAATGATGTCTGCAGAGGAAGCAGTGCATCCGAGCTTGGCAAAGCAGGGTCAGCTGGTTAGTGGGTTCACGTACACCAGATACTGCAGGCCTTCACACCCAAACTAGTCGGCACTGCCATGCTGGAATGGCAGGCTTGGTGTCCGATCTTCCACAGGTAGTGGCTCCTTCGGTTGTGAGATGCGGTGCAGGCGGCATTTGTCACAACTGCGGACACCGTGCTCGATGTCGGCTGACAATCGTGGCCAGAAAACAATCTGCCGGGCATGGGACTTCGTGCGCGTCAATCCTTGATGGGATGCATGTAGATGAGACAGGGCATGTTGCCGGAGAGCGACGGGAATCAGGAGACGAGGTCCTTTGATCACTAAACCACTGTCAATAGAGAGGTGCTCGTGGCCATTCCAGTACGGCTGGAGTGACTCAGGTATGAGGGACCTCTTAGCAAGGAAACCAGACACGATGAACTGAACTAGGCACTGGTAGTCAGTATCGGCCTGGGCGTAGGAGCGGAGCTCGTGGTACTTCAGGTCACCAGACGTATCGAGCGTGCACGCGCAGATAGCAGCGCCCTGAGACGCAGTACTCTCACCCAGTTCGTCGTCGGGACAGGGTTCGCTGACTGGATGGCGGGACAGAGCAACAGGGAAAGCATGATCAGTGCATTTCCGCCAGGTTGCTTGTAGCTAATAGGGCCGAAGAGGGTTCCATGACTTCCTCGATAATACGATCATCGACCATACTGTCCATTTGGGACTTTATCTGATCCCAGTAGGCAAACGGTATGGTGCGGGCAGTGCGGATGCAGCTGGGCTCTGCAACTGGTTCCAACTGGATGTCCATTGTAGCTCCTTCAAGGGAGGCCGCAGCACGCTGCAGCTGCAGCTGGTCGACAGTCCTCTTGAATGCCAATGGGCACATGGATAGAAAGTGACCGGTGCGTTGGCAGCCATTGCATTTGCGATCAGCAGCAGGGCAGGGTCGCTTGTTATGTGCGGTGCAGCCACAGTTGAGACACTTATCCCGAGAGGGCTTGCTGCCAGACTTTGAATCCTTGGCTGCGTGGTCTCGAGCTTGCTTGGATGCCATTCCTTACTGTTTCTTGTAGCTAGAGCGAACGGCGCTCACGGATGCATATCCAGCGGCCTGACTGGGGATGCGGGACAATGTATGGCTGGCAGCCTCCTCGGTGCGGCATAGGTCAACGCAGGTTACCAGGGTTAAATCCTTCCTTGCCAGCAGCTTGTGTCGAACGTCATCCTGCAGGATGCCAGTAACGATGCAGTCTTGCAGAATTTCGTCCGTGTGAGCCTGGAACGACTGTTGGCATGTCTGACACATGCGTCCAAAGCATGTCGAACAGACATCCAACCCGCAGAAGTTGCAAGCGTGAAACAACTCCCTCAGGGATGTATACCACGCATCAAATGTCTCTCCAGGTTGCTGGGCACGGCGGTAAAATTTTATCCTATCCAGCAGGGGATTACACTGGCGCCGGATGAACTTGCGTAGTTCAACCATGGCCTCTGGGACATCATCGGTATTTGGTACCACAATTACACCCTCACGCACAAAACGTCAAAGGTCCTCATCCAACGGCTGCCTAAACGCGGCCATTCTTGTCTCGCGGGGCTGCGCTGACAGCAGCTGACACCAGGAGTAGTCCTCCCAGGCCTCGCGCCACGACACAAATTCGGCTAAATTCGCTGATGGCGACAATATGGGTCGATCCACAGCGACTGGCTTGGTGGATGGAGCAGGAGCGGACGAAGCGGGTCCACTTGTGCTGCTTGATGATCCTTGTGGCATTGACTGCAACACGGTTTGGAGTTGCACATCACCCTGGGCAAATGCTTGCACTTCAGCTTGGATAAGTTTCGCAAGTTGGTTGATGTTGGGCCGTGAGTTAGCAACATTCGCCATGGCGAAATCACAACTTCTATATCGTACTACACGGCTCCGAAATTTACTTCTAGAACTACGAAACGAACAATTTTCGAAGCGAAACGAAAACGGGCAGAGAGCAACACTACAGGTGGGCTGCTCTACAACTGCAATGGGACCATACTAAGATTAACAGGGAAAGTAAGATGTTCACTGCGCCGTGTTGTGTCAACAAACGCAAACACACAAGGTAGGGTTTGTGACTTATCTTTCAGAAGAAAAACGAGAAAAGACTTCTCGCCAAGAGCAAAGGACAGGCAAAATCCACGATGCATGTATGTACTAGTATGGCTACACACGCGAATGCAAAGGGCAATGAGTCCAACAGGCAGCCCATATATGGATACACCAATTGCTGTTTCTTGTCTTTGCCACTCATCCCAACAAAATGATCAACGCCTAAAAATGCTCGCAGAGTCAAAGAAGAAGACGGAGATGCAGTGGAGGGAAGCACTCTCCAGGGGCGTGGAGAAAAGTAAGTCCACCACATTTCGTTTAATAATTTTGTTGCCACAATTGTACGTGTACGTAGACAAGTATTTGACGAGACGTGACCTAGGGGGAAATGTTCCACACACCGACTCATTTAACCATAGTGATGAGAAGTTGTTCGGCGAGTTGAAGACGACAGAAGTCAATATTTCTGATGCAGCTGAGTCTATCCGGAGAGCTACGAATTCAATCCTGATTTGATGCTTGTAGTTGAGAGAGCGATTTCTCTTACCGGTAAAGTGTTTAGGGATGGTTTAAGGGTGAACGAGTTGTCTTAAATTTCACATACTGCAACTGCACTTCATAGCAGCTAGCCAGGAGGGCTGGGAGCCCTTTTTGTTTCAATCTTTTGTTGTTGTTTCTTGTCTTTGCCATTCAAAAGCCAACCGCCTTTGACAGGTCTTGAAGGCAGTCTCTGTGGTCTCGTTATCCAAGATGCGGCGGAGAAAGACGCTACCCCGAAGACTGTAGACAAGTAAGTACATGTTCACCTCTTTTTGTTTATTAATTTCGCTGCCACAATTTCACGTGTACATACACAAGCATGTGACAAGACGCGACCTAGGAGAAAATGTTCCACACACCAACTCATTTAATCATAGTGATGATCGGTTGTGTGGTGAGTTGAAGATGACAGAAGTCAATAGTACTGATGCAGTCCAGGCGAGTAGCTCGCATGGGGGAAATGCACTTCCCTAAACATTTCGACTTAGGTTCAGCATCCACATAATGACGTTGAATGACATGCACCTGTCATACACATACGCGGCCGTGCCCTCCCCCCCCCCCCCCCCCCACCCCCTAAAAGGGAACCAGCTGGTGACAGCGTTATGCGGCACGGGATAGCAGGGTGGCGACGGCGGCGGGGTTGCCGTAGGTGCAAGGAGCTCACTTGTCTGTTTGTTCCGCCGTCGTCGCTGGGGCGGCAGCGGCCACGAGTATGGCGACGGGAACGGTTGGACTGTCGATGGGACCGTGGGCGCGGGCCACCTCGTCACGCAACTCCTCCTCGCCGGTACGCCCCCCCCCCCCCCTCCCCCCCCCAGTCTATTCAGTTAGCTAAGAAATCAATCGTGATTTCGTGCTTGTAGTTGAGAGAGCGATTCCTCTTCCCTGTAATTTCTGTTAAGGATGGATCCAGGGTGAGCGAGGAACCTTGACGTTCACATAGTGCAACTGCACTTCATAGCATCTAGCTAGAAGGGTTGGCAACTCTTTTTGTTTCAATCTTTGGTTTCTGTCGTGTCAACAAACGCAAACACACGAGGTATGGTTTGTGACTTATCTTTCAGAAGACAAAAGAGAAAAGACTTCTTGTCCAGAGCAAAGGACAGGCAGAATACCATGATGCATGTGCGAACTAGTATGTGCACACACCCGAATGCAAAGCTCAATGTGTACAACAGGCAGAAAATATATGGATACACCACGCCACTTTTGAGATAAAAGACATTTTTACTAGGTAAAAAAATACAGCAGCAATGAAATGCATAACTAACAGCAACAGCCATAGGTCTGGTAGAAGAGCAGAAACAGAATGAGGACAAAGTCATCAGTAACAAGATTGTCCGGGCGTGGATAACACATTAAACGGTACGTTCTGCTGCCGATGGCGATGACCGCGGCGTGGTGCAGACTGTGCTGGGGCATGTACACAGGCCGGCCGAAGAGAGTTTGGGCTGGACTCTGGCCAGCGGCGCTCGGGGTATTCCATCACTCAAGCAGCGCACATTGAAAGGAATCCACGTCGAGATCGCCATTGCTAGTGGTCTTGTGAATCGGCGACTTCATTGCTTTCACGGCATTCTTGGCCAGCCCATTCGACTGCGGATACTGGGGAGAGGATTTAGCATGATGGATGCTCCAGGTATGACCGAACTTGGCGAATACATGGGATTGGAACTGAGGGCCACCATCACTGGTAAGTACCTCGGGGACACAAATGTCAGTAGACCAGTTGCAAAGAGACCGAATGATGTCTGCAGAGGAAGCAGTGCGTCCGAGGTTGAAGCAGGTTCAGCTGGTTAGTCGGTCCACGTATACCAGACACTGCAGGCCTTCACACCCAAACAAGTCGGCGCTGCCATGCTGGAATGGCAGACTTAGTGTCCGATCTTCCACACAGAGTTGCTCCTTCGGTTGTGAAGCGCGGTGCAGACGGTATTTGTCACAACTGCGGACACCGTGCTTGATGTTGGCTGACAATCGTGGCCAGAAAACAATCTTCCGGGTACAGGACTTCGTGCGCGTCAATCCTTGATGGGATGTGTGTAGATCAGACAGGGCATGTTGCCGGAGAGCGACGGGAATCAGGAGACGAGGTCCTTTGATCACTAAACCACTCTCAATAGAGAGGTGCTCGTGGCCATTCCAGTACGGCTGGAGTGACTCAGGCATGAGGGACCTCTTAGCAGGGAAGCCAGACACGATAAACTGAACTAGGCACTGGTAGTCAGTTTCGGCCTGGGCGTCGGAGCGGAGCTCGTGGTACTTCAGGTCACCAGACGTATCGAGCGTGCACGCGCGAATAACAGTGCCTTGAGAGGCAGTACTCTCACCCAGTTCGTCGTCGGGACAGGGTTCGCTGACTAGATGGTGGGACAGAGCAACAGGGAAAGCATGATCAGTGCATTTCCGCCAGGTTGCTTGTAGCTAATAGGGCCGAAGAGGGTTCCGTGACTGGCTCGATAATACGATCATCGACCATACTGTCCATTTGAGACTTTATCTGATCCCAGTAGGCAAACGGTATGGTGCGGGCAGTGCGGATGCAGCTGGGCTATGCAACTGGTTCCAACTGGATGTCCATTGTAGCTCCTTCATAACTATGTTACTAGTACATACACAAGTAGGAGATCCCCCAGATAGGCGTTAGCCTTTGGGTAATCCTGAAATAAAGATTATTATTCAAGGGAGGCTGCAGCACGCTGCAGCTGGTCGACAGTCCTCTTGGATGCCAACGGGCACATGGATAGAAAGTGACCGGTGCGTTGGCAGCCATTGCATTTGCGATCAGCAGCAGGGCAGGGTCGCTTGTTATGCGCTGTGCCGCCACAGTTGGGACACTTATCCCGCAAGGGCTTGCTGCCAGACTTTGAATCCTTGGCTGCGTGGTCTCGAGCTTGCTTGGATGCCATTCCTTTCTGTTTCTTGTAGCTAGAGCGAACGGCGCTCTTGGATGCATATCCAGCGGCCTGACTGGGGATGCGGGACAATGTATGGCTGGCAGCCTCCTCGGTGCGGCATAGGTCAACGCAGGTTACCAGGGTTAAATCCTTCATTGCCAGCAGCTTGTGTCGAACGTCATCCTGCAGGATGCCAGTAACGATGCAGTCTTGCAGAATTTCGTCCGTGTGAGCCTGGAACGACTGTTGGCATGTCTGACACATGCGTCCAAAGCATTTCGAACAGACATCCAACCCGAAGAAGTTGCAAGCGTGAAACAACTCCCTCAGGGATGTATACCACGCATCAAATGTCTCTCCAGGTTGCTGGGCACGGCGGTAAAATTCTATCCTATCCAGCAGGGGATTACACTGGCGCCGGATGAACTTGCGTAGTTCAACCATGGCCTCCGGGACATCATCGGTATTTCATAGTCAGCAATCCCATGTCATCTCGTACATTGAAAATCAACATAATTTTGCGAATCGATCTTTTTTTTCAGGATCACTTTTCAACGAGGACGAAGCAAAGTCGGCCGAACGAAGCCTAGAGGAAGAAAATCACCCTCTCCACTTCACCATCACGATACTGACATAGATACGAGATGAAACAACTAAAAAATTCACAAGAAAACTGTACGACCATCATCGCGCTGACTTTGGTCTGACTTTGGTCTGAGAATTTCTATCACGATCAAAAATGTACGAGGAGCACTCAAAAATCAGCCACAGACGTACCTTTATCGCTCTCTACTCCTTTTTCAAGGCACAAAAGTCGACTCTCCACTTTCAAACCAGGAACCAGACATACCAGTGGTCCTTTTCAGCTGCTCCACGAGCGCAGGAAATGTTCACCAAGGGGCGCAGAGCAGCATCCATTCCAGAAAAATAGCTAAAATACGAGTAAGACTGCATGCCTGAGTACATGAGTACATGTATGAGTACATGCAGAAAATAGTCAATTTCAGCGTTTCTGCTCCAAACAGCAACCAGCTTCGACTAGAAACAAAGATTACACCAAAGGATCAAACAACAACGATTTTCTGAAGTTTTTTTGCAGTTGGCTTCCTTGTGCTTGGCCCAGCACGCCAAAAATCACACCTCGGAGGAGTACAAAAATTACAACTCTCAGATGTCCTTGATTGCTGGCCATGTGGTACCACAATTACACCCTCACGCACAAAACGTCAAAGGTCCTCATCCAACGGCTGCCTAAACGCGGCCATCCTTGTCTCGCGGGGCTGCGCTGACAGCTGCTGACACCAGGAGTAGTCCTCCCAGGCCTCGCGCCACGACACAGATTCGGCTAAATTCGCTGATGGCGACAATATGGGTCGATCCACAGCGACTGGCTTTTTTGGAGATGGAGCAGGAGCGGACGAAGCGGGTCCACTTGTGCTGCTTGATGATCCTTGTGGCATTGACTGCAACACGGTTTGGAGTTGCACATCACCCTGGGCAAATGCTTGCACTTCAGCTTGGATAAGTTTCGCAAGTTGGTTGATGTTGGGCCGTGAGTTAGCAACATTCGCCATGGCAAAATCACAACTTCTATATCGTACTACACGGCTCCGTAAGTACTTCTAGAACTACGAACGGACAATTTTCGAAGCGAAACGAAAACGGGCAGAGAGCAACACTACAGGTGGGCTGCTCTACAACTGCAATGGGACCATACTAAGACTAACAGGGAAAGTAAGATGTTCACTGCGCCGTGTTGTGTCAACAAACGCAAACACACAAGGTAGGGTTTGTGACTTATCTTTCAGAAGAAAAACGAGAAAAGACTTCTCGCCAAGAGCAAAGGACAGGCAAAATCCACGATGCATGTATGTACTAGTATGGGTACACACGCGAATGCAAAGGGCAATGAGTCCAACAGGCAGCCCATATATGGATACACCATTAGCTGTTTCTTGTCTTTGCCACTCAGACCATCAAAAAGACCGTCAAAAAACGCTCCCAAATTCAAAGAAGAAGACAAAGATACGGTGGAGGGAAGCACTCTCCAGGGGTGTGGAGAAAAGTAAGTCCACCACATTTCGTTTAATAATTTTGTTGCCACAATTGTACGTGTACGTAGACAAATATTTGATGAGACGTGACCTAGGGGGAAATGTTCCACACACCGACTCATTTAACCATAGTGATGAGCTGTTGTTTGGCGAGTTGATGACGACAATAGTCAATATTTCTGATGCAGCTGAGTCTATCCAGAGAGCTACGAATTCAATCGTGATTTGATGCTTGTAGTTGAGACAGCGATTCCCCTTACTGGTAAACACTTGTAGGGATGGATCCAGGGTGTGCGAGTTACCTTGAATTTCAAATACTGCAACTGCACTTCATAGCAGCTAGCCAGAAGGGTTGGAAGCCCTTTTTGTTTCAATATTTGGTTGTTGTTCCTTGTGTTTGCCATTCAAAAGCCCAACGCCTGACGCAAGCCCTAAAGGCGCTACGGCTGGCCAAGTTACGCCGCAGGCAGGAACCACTCTCAAGAAGCGTGCAGCAACGTAAGTACACCTCCCTTTGTTTATTAATTTCGCTCCCACAATTGTACGTGTACATACACAAGCATGTGACAAGGCATGACCTAGGAGAAAATGATCCACACACGAACTCATTTAACCATAGTGATGAGCAGTTGTTTGGTGAGTTGAAGACGACAATAGTCAATATTTCTGATGCAGTCCACACGAGTAGCTTGCATGGGGAAAGTGCACTTCCCTAAATATTTCGACTTAGGTTCAGCATCCACATAATGACGTTGAATGACATGCACCTGTCATGCACATACGCGGCCGTGCCCCCTCCCCCCCCCCCCCCCCCACACACACACACCCCCTAAAAGGGAACCAGCTACACCCCTCTAGTCTATCCAGTTAGCTAAGAAATCAATCGTGATTTCTTGCTTGTAGTTGAGAGAGCGATTCCTCTTCCCTGTAATGTCTGTTAGGGATGGATCTAGGGTGAGCGAGCAACCTTGACGTTCACATAGTGCAACTGCACTTCACAGCATCTAGCTAGAAGAGTTGGGAACTCTTTTTGCTTCAATCTTTGGTTGCTGTTGTGTCAACAAACGCAAACACACGAGGTATGGTTTGTGACTTGTCTTTTCAGAAGACAAAGAGAAAAGACTTCTTGTCCAGAGCAAAGGACAGGCAGAATACCATGATGCAAGTGTGTACTAGTATGCGCACACACGCGAATGCAAAGCTCAATGCATACAACAGGCAGAAAATATATGGATACACTATGCCTCTTCTGAGTTAAAAGACATTTTTATCAGCTCAAAAAAAACACAGCAGCAATAAAATGCATAACTAACAGCAACAGCCATAGGTCTGGTAGAAGAGCAGAAACAGAATGAGGACAAAGTCATCAGTAATAAGATTGTCCGCGTGTGGATATCACATTAAACGGTACGTTCTGCTGCCGATGGCGATGACTGCGGCGTGGTGCAGGCTGTGTTGGGGTATGAACACCAGGGACAGTAGAGGCAACTGGTGTCTGACCTTGTGCAGCGTCTGGAGCATAAACAGTAGGGACGGCTGCAGCTGGCGGTGGTGTAGGAGAGACTCTCAGTCGGAGGAAATGGCGGTTGCGCCAATAGATGCGTCCACTTCTTCTCAACGAGAAAGATCGGATGGCACCACGCAGAGGGACAGTTAGGACACTTGTCCCGTGTGGGCTTGCTACCAGACTTTGAATCCTTGGCTGCGTGGGCTCGAGTTTGCTTGGATGCCATTCCCTTTTGTTTCTTGTAGCTAGAACGAATGGCACTCACGGATGCATCTCCAGCGGCCTGACGGGGATGCGGGACAATGTATGGCTGGCATCCTCATCGGCGCGGCATAGGTCAACGCAGTTTACCAGGGTTAAATCCTTCATTGCCAGCAGCTTACAAAATAAAACTAAAGAACCACAGTAATAAGCCATGAGAAGTCTTTCACTCTAGACCCGTTGCACAGCAATTACATTTTACTTTTGGTTCAACATCCGAGTTTTTATTAAGCACACCTCATTTTAACATGGGAAATTGTGGGCACAAGTTATGCGATCACGTCCACCAACTAAACCAGATTTTTGGAATTAACACTAATATCCATGAACCGTCCAAGTTGTAAGGCGGTTGGTTAGCGCTATCGAGCTGAGCTCAAGCTGACTTTCATGCCCTGAAATGTCTCAGTACTCCTGTCGTCGGGGTTTTTAATTGCCTCGCACGATAGCTCTTCCGATTACTCTCGATATCTCATATCACACGACGCCACACTCAGAGAACAGATTATTGTTGTTGCTCCAAAGAGAGTCTCAAGAAGAAGGCACCCAAAACAACCAGAATGCGTACGATAAGTATGCAAGCATGCGCACAACAACAAGAACATGTACGATAATCATGCAAGCATGCGCCACCGGCGCAGTCCGCACACACGTGCCAAAAGGGGCACACACGTGCCAAAAGGGCAGGGACAACATACGGCCACATGAAAAAAATGCATCCTCTCCTGAGGATGGGAGAGAAAAAAATGAGAAGACAGGAGAAAAAGAAATCAAATGTGAACAACAAACACATGCGGATACGCAGGGTCAAAACAGTAGGATACATGGCCCAATATCTGAGAAAATCGACCTTCGGGGCTGTTTTGGTGAAATTGATTTTTTTATTGCAAATTGATGTCTTGCCTTTGTAGAGTATTGTGACTTCGTTTCACGGCCATCAGACCAATATTGACCATGTAGAAATGCATTCTACAGTCAGGAGTCATGTTAATGAATAATATTGTTCTTTTTTTACAATTTTGAAATATCAGTGTGTTTGGAGCCACCAAAAATTGTTTCCATGTGATATCTAATATAGTAAAGTGTTTTGACTGTTCAGGTACTTCATTTCCAGCATTCCGTGACTTTATTGAGGTTGTGTAGTTGCAACAGCAGCAATGGCAGCATTAGAAGGAGAGGTGATTTATCTGTTCTCCTGGTGATGGACATGCTTGACAGGATTGTCTGCAACAGATTTTGATGGAACACCATGATACATGTAACAGCATTCACATACTTATTGTGAAGGAGTCAAACGGAGCAAATGCGTCCAGATTCGCCTTGTTGTACTTTGTGGAGACTGACCATTTCCAAACATCAGTAACACAGTCTGACAAGCGTTTCACACCACCAACTCAAAAGTAACAGAATGTTACTCGAGATTGCCCAGCCTCATGTGCTCCGTGATGGTCTGATTCGCCATTATTAGCTCGAGTATCGAGCGTGCCATCCAAAACATTTTAGGATCATCGTCGCAAAGAAAACTCGCATCATTTCGTGCCGTTTTAGCAGGTTTGGCGTGACACTCAGGAAACAGTTCTGCCACTCGCGCAAGGGCGCCCAGCGACCTTGCAAGCGGCGTACCCTCAGGAATCCACCTGGTTGTCCTTGCCTGGAGCTGTAGCAGCTATCGCTGAGGCAGACTGTGGTTGGCCTTGATCATACTCATCCAGGCCAAGTCCTCATCATCGTCGCCCCCGATAGGTAAGTACCGCGTGTCACTTGCGATCGATTCGCCTGACATGCGCTCTCAGAACTAGAAGCGCTGTCGCCGCTTGACAGGATATCCACAAAGAACGATGCATCACCGTCCATGGGATCGCGGCTGCTGTGCTCCGTGAGCCCAATAACCAACTGACACAAGAATCGCCTTCAATTTTCTTCCGCCATTGTCGTCTCTGCACTTTGCTTTGACGGAATCGATTTTTTTGCGAACAAATTTGTTTTTAGTGTTTTCTCAAAAAAACCGCGTAGCCCCGAAGGTCGAAAGTCTCAGATATCGGGCCACATTAGTAACTCCGGAAAACGGGGGAAAAGCCAAAGCAAAGGGGTGAAAAGAAAACAGACTGGGCCCACCCATAGAGGGAACCGCCATACTTTCAGGCGTGGGCCCCCGGAAAACAACCACCTCGCTCTGGTGCGAAGCCAAGGCAAACCGACGGTACTGCGAAGACCGCGGCAGCTGAACCGGGTGACCAGTCATCTGACAGCACAGCAGTTGTCCGGAAAACCATCACGCAGGCGATGGGGCTACGAAAACTCACAGAGACACACACAGAAAGAAAGAAACACGGACTGACGCAAACATCTCAGCAATACTAGGAGCCAAAATTCAGACAAGAAAAACCACAAGAAGGAATGGCAGAACAGCAACGTTGAACACGCCTACGGATACAGGGGCAGTCTATCCATGAGGACACCAGATAGCACACAAACAAATCGGTCACCAATACGCAAACAAAAATGAACATAGAAAAACCACACGGCGCTACCCTGAATAACCACAGGCCTTTAACCTGAAAAAACCACAGGTCTCTAACCTGAAAAAACCCACAGGGATTGAACCTGAATATCACGCGTGAAACACATCCGCTCACGAAACACAAAAAAAAAACACCGTCCTGAACCCTACTGGGATGCACAAAGGCCAGCCAGCAAAACACGGAAACCGAACACCCGCAAGGCGAACCGATACAAATAAGCGCTGGATCCCACCAGCCCACCAGGCAGACCGTGGCTCACCATGATCGGACGCCCCCCCCCCCCCCCCCCCAGGTGAAATGAAGAGACCCACGTGCCAAAACACAAATACCAAACAACACGCTCACAGAAATATTGCCACCCGGACCGTCAACGAGAATCTCAGAAGCATCTATGCCTGTTCATTTGGTGAAGTAAAATAAACAACAACAACAACAACAACAACAACAACAACAACAACAACAACAACAACAACAACAACAACAAGCATGTTACACCACTGGGCGTCAGCCATTCCACATGAGCGGGACAACCAGGCGGAGCACTAAAACGCTCGACACAAAACATGAATACTAGTAAAACGAAAAAGAAAGCACTTGTACTTGAAACTGGAAACGACGGAGTGCCACCACAATCGAGTAAATCGATGGGGACATCTACCAAACTGAAACAAATCGAACGACACAGGATCGTAGCAGTCCGACGACACAGAAACGACGTGCACCAGTGCACAACACAGGGCGAGTAAGCAAACACGAGCAAAGCTACCCATGCTGACTACCGTGATGACGTAGATCTACCAAGCAACACGATGAGCATGCACGACAGCACGGACAACAGAACTTTCAAGTCAGAAGGTGCGAAAACACAGTGCACACGACCACTCAAACAGCCTGAGGCCGGAGGGCGACAATGTAGAGGGGACGGCTCGATACCGGGACGCTTTGACAGCCAAATTTGTATAGACCCAAACCGATCATCAGCGTTGATTTTTCACTCGAAATATGTTTGTGGAAGGAAACTGGCATGTTGAAGTTTGCTCTGGGGCCAGAGTCAATCGAACTGCGCCACTCCTTTGTGTTGACCCATTGCCTCCAAGTTGCCCAATTTTTCGCTTCAAAAAAGTTCAAATCAGAGGTGGCTCCAAACCGGACACGTTTTAGAGTGCACGTCAAATTCACTCTGGGTCTGAAATTAGGTAATTGCTATCGCTCCACGACGGCCGGTACAGAGTAACAATAAGCCTTGTGTGTGCTTCCATTAGTTTTGATTGGTATGCGGTGCTTTATTGGCGAGAGGCGAGCCACTGTTTACCTGCGACAAGAAGTTGATTTTTCGAAAGTCGTAAAACTCAGGTCGCAGTGCGAAGCAACACGTCAAAAACTCACCTGCTTGATATGGCGCTTCTGGTCATCGCAGAGCCATGAAATTTTGGCTCGGAGTATAACACATCGTAGTCTCACTGTGACATATTATGTTTTCTAATCAAAATACCAAGAGAGAAAGTGAATATTGAGTCCGTTCCGGTTTGCAACCTGTGTCCTATTTGAAACCGTCCCCTCTACACTGGTTCAAAACACCGCACACACAACGTGGGCCACAATCATGTACTAACAGGAGCGAGGCTCGAACGAGGTACTTGTAGAGGGGACGGCTCGATACTGGGACGCTTTGACAGCCAAATTTGTATAGACCCAAACGGATCATCAACGTTGATTTTTCACTCGAAATATGTTTGTGGAAGGAAACTGGCATGTTGAAGTTTGCTCTGGGGCCAGAGTCAATCGAACTGAGCCACTCCTTGGTGTTGGCCCATTGCCTCCAAGTTGCCCAATTTTTCGCTTCAAAAAAGTTCAAATCAGAGGTGGCTCCAAACCGGACACGTTTTAGAGTGCACGTCAAATTCACTCTGGGTCTGAAATTAGGTAATTGCTATCGCTCCACGACGGCCAGTACAGAGTAACAATAAGCCGTGTGTGTGCTTCCATTAGTTTTGATTGGCATGCGGTGCTTTATTGGCGAGAGGCGAGCCGCTGTTTACCTGCGACAAGAAGTTGATTTTTCGAAAGTCGTAAAACTCAAGTCGCAGTGCGAAGCAACACGTCAAAAACTCACCTGCTTGATATGGCGCTTCTGGTCATCGCAGAGCCATGAAATTTTGGCTCGGAGTATAACACATCGTAGTCTCACTGCGACATATGTTTTCAAATCAAAATACCAAGAGAGAAAGTGAATATTGAGTCCGTTCCGGTTTGCAACCTATGTCCTATTTGAAACCGTCCCCTCTACACCAGAGAACAACACGGGACTTCAATGCCACGAAGCGAAACAATTATTTGAAAATCCCAAATCGAAGACTAGTACCAGGAGAACTACGTACAAGGTACAAAACATTACGCAGGGCAGACAAAGCATGCTCACCTGAGTAGGAGCTCCGAGGACAGGGTTGAGCAGATGGAGCAAAGCGGAGCCATGGCGAGGACGCGTGGAGAAGGCAAGATTTGAAGCCACGGCAAAAACGAAAACGATCTCAGGGTCGTGGGGAACGATGCCACTAGCTGGGCGCCAATTGTCGTCGGGGGGGGGGGGGGGTTATTGCCTCGCACGATCGCCCTTCCGATTACTCTCGATATCTCATATCACACGACGCCACACTCAGAGAACAGATTATTGTTGTTGCTCCAAAGAGAGTCTCAAGAAGAAGGCACCCAAAACAACCAGAATGCGTACGATAAGTATGCAAGCATGCGCACAACAACAAGAACATGTACGATAATCATGCAAGCATGCGCCACCGGCGCAGTCCGCACACACGTGCCAAAAGGGGCACACACGTGCCAAAAGGGCAGGGACAACACTCCTTCTCAGTTTGCACTAGATTGCGCACGCCTGACAGTTCAAAATCTGGTTCAGTTGGTGGACTCGATCGCATAACTTGTGCCCACAATTTCCCATGTTACAAGTGTTTTCCTTGGCTCACCATCTGAGTTCTCAATGCTCACCTCATTTTGTTTATTAATTTCTTTGCCACAATTGTACGTGTACGTAGACAAGTATTTGACGAGACGCGACCTAGGGGGAATGTTCCACACACCGACTCATTTAACCATAGTGATGTGAAGTTGTTTGGCGAGTTGAAGACGACAGAAGTCAATATTTCTGATGCAGCTGAGTCTATCCAGAGAGCTACGAATTCAATCGTGTTGTCGTGCTTGTAGTTGAGAGAGCGATTCCTCTTACCGGTAAAGTGTTTTAGGGATGGTTTAAGGGTGAACGAGTTATCTTAAATTTCACATACTGCAACTGCACTTCATAGCAGCTAGCCAGGAGGGCTGGGAGCCCTTTTTGTTTCAATCTTTGGTTGTTGTTTCTTGTCTTTGCCATTCAAAAGCCAACCGCCTTTGACAGGTCTTGAAGGCAGTCTCGGTGGTCTCGTTATCCAAGATGCGGCGGAGAAAGACGCTACCCCGAAGACTGTAGACAAGTAAGTACACCTCTTTTTGTTTATTAATTTCGCTGCCCCAATTTCACGTGTACATACACAAGCATGTGACAAGACGCAACCTAGGAGAAAATGTTCCACACACCAACTCATTTAACCATAGTGATGAGCAGTTGTGTGGCGAGTTGAAGACGACAATATTCAATAGTACTGATGCAGCTGAGTCTATCCGGAGAGTTACGAATTCAATCCTGATTTCGTGCTTGTAGTTGAGAGAGCGATTCCCCTTACTGGTAAACTCTTGTAGGGATGGATCCAGGATGTGCGAGTTACCTTGAATTTCAAATACTGCAACTACACTTCATAGCAGCTAGCCAGAAGGGTTGGGAGCCCTTTTTGTTTCAATCGTTGATTGTTGTTTCTTGTCTTTGCCATTCAAAAACCCAACGCCTGACGAAAGCCCTGACGGCGCTACGGCTGACCAAGATACTCACCAGGGGACTGCAGACAAGTAAGTACACCTCATTTTGTATATTAATTTCGCTGTCACAATTGTACGTGTACATACACAAGCATGTGACAAGGCGCTACCTAGGAGAAAATGTTCCACACACCGACTGCAGCTGAGTCTATCCGGAGAGTTACAAATTCAATCCTGATTTCGTGCTTGTAGTTGAGAGAGCGATTCCCCTTACCGGTAAAGTCTTTTAGGGATCGTTTGAAGGTGAGCGAGTTACCTTGAATATCACATACCGGTCGTGCAACTACACTTCACAGCAGTTAACCAGAAGGGTTGGGAACCCTTTTGTTTCAATCTTTGGTTGCTGTTTCTTCTCTTTGCCATTCAGCCAAGTGGGAAGCTCAGCGTCTGACGTAGATGAAAGCGAAGATCAACCCGCTCACAGGTAAGTATACCTCTTTTTGTATATTAATTTCGCTGCCACAATTTCACGTGTACATACACAAGCATGTGACAAGGCGCTACCTAGGGGGAAATGTTCCACACACCGACTCATTTAACCATAGTGATGAGCAGTTGTTTGGCGAGTTGAAGACGACAATAGTCAATAGTTCTGATGCAGTCCACACGAGTAGCTCGCATGGGGAAAGTGCACTTCCCCAAACATTTCTACTTAAGTTCAACATACACATATTGACGTTGAATGACATGCACCTGCTATACACATAATATTATGCGGCCGTGAACCTTCCCCCCCCCCCCTTCACCTCCCCTCCCCTTCTTTCCCTCCCCGCCCCCTCCCCTCTCCCCCTCTCCCAAAGGGGACCAGCTACACCCCTGCAATCTATCCAGAGAGCCACGAATTCAATCATGATTTCGTGCTTGTAGTTGAGAGGGTGATTCCTCTTACTTGTAAATTCTTTTTACGGATGGGACCCGGGTGAACGAGTAAACTTGACTTTCACATACTTGTAGTGCAACGGCACTTCGTTACAGCTAGCCAGAGGCGTTGGGAATCCGCTTGCTTCAATCTTTGTTTGCTGTTTCTTATCTTTGCTGTTCAGGTCACCCCTGCGTCGTGATAGTAGATTTTATACTTTAAAACACCGTGAATTCATCCGAGTGCCCATGGGCACGAAACTGGTTGACGAATTACCAGGTATCGACAGGACTGCTACGGCCAATCTGGAGACATCGCGTATCACCCGAGCCTCGCAGATCTTCGACCGATACCAGGCGGTAGAAAGGGATTGCGCACGTTTTAAGGCCGAGATGTGGACACTCGGCAACGTGAACGAGCTCAACGCTGAAGGTTGTTACAAGGCTCTACATGCATATAACGATAAGTTCAAAGCTCAAAAGGAGGGCTAGGGCATTTGAGCAAGGGTCAGTTGTCTTTTTGCTGACCTTTTAAAGCTTTCTTCCCTCAAATGATTTGCTTTGACCTCCGCATAGACCAAATTCCAAGTACAATAATGACGTTCGTTCTTCGTCATTTGTGATTGCAAACCCTCCTTGCAAGTCGTTTCCAGCTTCTTTTCCAATTCCACCCTACTGTACTTATTGTTAGTTTTTCAATGTGCACTAATGCATGTTTGCCTGCAT